CTAATCATTTTCCGTTTTTTTTTTCATTATGCGCATGTTTATCCAAAAACTAAACTTTTTATTCATATCTTAAATAATTGATTAGATAATGTCGAAGTTTTAACTTGCAAAACAATTAACAATAAGGATGAATATTTGTTGAAAGAGGATGTGCTTGGGAAAACCTTTTCTTTTTTATCGATATAACCTCTATCAATACAAAGTGTACCCGACTGCAGAGGAACTGATTATAATAATTGATGTTTCTAATTAATCATACCCATTTTCTTCATGAACATCTAAATTTGATCAGGAACATTCTCGACCGAACATCATTTTACCTTAACCTGTAATGAAAACAAGATCATGATTTTTTCCATTTATATAATATTTGCTTCGTATTTTACCCTAAAGATGACCTTTTGTGGTGAATTTTCTATCACTGCTTATAATAAACGTTTAGGGAGGGATATACGATCCATACGGAAGTTGAGGGGTCTGAGACAATGTGTCAGAGATTGTGTAGACAGGGGACAATGTAAGGCTGTAAATTATCACAGAGACAGTCTGCAGTGCCAGCTTCTGGGGGACTCCACCACAGATTTATCAGATCTCATGGACGATGACAGCTTTATGTTCATAGACATTGCATCTCAGAGAACGGTATGGTATTAGTCATGTGAGAAATCATAGAATCTAGAATAAGTTAGTGGAAATACAATGCATAAAATTTTTGTTATGTTTCTAAATCACATTTCTCTATGGAACAAATGACAGTATTTATTTGGTATCATGTCATCATACATAAAACAAATACACATACACATGATCTTATAAAAAATGGAAGTTGGTTATCAAGATTTTATAAATAATTTAACATGACTAGATAGATACCAGGATAACCCATTAAAGCACGAGATGGGGTCCTATCTTAAATAACTTTTAAGAATAAATAACAATACATTGTAATGAATATTCCATCATTAAAGCTCTATAATGCTTTTGGCACAATAATTTTAGCATACACATCTAAATTACGTTTAAGTATGACAACACTGACATTATCAATAAAATATATTTTATAAACTAGTACTGAAACATATCACTTTCATGTTCTAAAATGCCTTTTTGTAAGATAAAACTCTTTACTTGTTTCTTAAAAGTACTCTTTCCTTTTGTACACTTAATAGAGGCTGGTAAAAAATTCCAGTCCTTTATGCCATTTTAATAAAAAGTGTCTGTTTGACATGTTTTCACATAGGGTATAAAAAAATCTTCATTAGTGGATGCTCTGGTGTTGCGTGAAGACACATCTGATCTTAGAGTAAAATTTTCTGATAAGTAATATGGCGCATAGCCATGGTGTATATTATAAACATGGTTTAATCTGAGTTGTCTTACCCGATCTTCTACATTCAACAAATTCAATGTACTAAGAACTTTATAGTTTATGGTATGCAAAGAGGATAGATTAAGTATAAATCTCACCATTTTGTTTTGCCATATATGTAATTTCTTTTTAAGGATCTTTGATAAACCTGCATACCATGCACAACTGGCATAATCTAAGTGACATTGTACAAGAGCAGAACATAATAGCATTTTACTTCTTATATCTTAAAAACGAGCTTGTCTGATAGTAACTAGTAATCATTTTAAGTTGACTCATATTGCACTAGAAATTAATACATACTATACGTATTCTTATTTTTCAATTTATACTTTACGTTTAAATTTCTTTTATTAGATGATTTGGTTAAAACTGTAGCACAGTTAATATTGCTTTTGAACACAAGTAAGTATTTAATTATAAAATTTACCCTAATGTTATGAATGATAGCAAACTTAAGTGGGTACAGTTCAAGATTTTTTTAAGCAAAAATTTAAAGATCAAAGTTTAATATTTACATTTCCAATAAATTTCCCCTATGTTTCTTTACAAAATAAAATGCAGTATATTTTCTCATGAACTACATTAGGTATGCATCACCAATAAGCATGAATATCTCCATTGTTACGTCATAATGCCGCTCGACGTCAAAAAAAATATAGTGCACACTGTTTTGTTTTAAAAATGACAGTTGAACGGCGTAAATCTATGGCAAGTCATCAGAAAAATAATGTAAATATAAGAAATGAATTTAATTTTTTAAAGATTCTTGAGGTATATGAACTACAACGCTTCACGCCGGCATATTTATCATGAAGCGCTAACGCGCTTCATGAAATATGCCGGCGTGAAGCGTCGTAGTTCATAACCTCATGAATCTTCAAAAATTAAATTCATTTCTTAAATGTTTTCCCTTAGTTAAGTAATAAAGAAAGTTTATTCGAGATGGTTCACTTAAATATCGACATTAAAAAAATCTCTATCAGAAATCTTTTTCCAGACTGAATTTAATGGCTAACATCGTAGCGTTGAGGGTGGTTTATTCTACATGGCATTTGTTTCCACTCTTGATATTTTTGAGATTCATGTTTAAAGCTAGTTTAGTTTCTGTTTGTATTTTATTGTGTTTTTGTCAAAGGAATTACTCTTAGACCTCTTAGACCTTCAAAAACCTACGGTCGGAGGGGATGCTCACTTTTCCATGACACCTAATCCCACCTCTGATATTTTAAAGGTCCGTATTAGCTCTGTTCTTGATTTGTATTGTTTGTATGTCCTTTATAGCTTAAATTCTGTTGGTTATATCCTCATAATTATTTCAACCATAACTTCCTTCAAGGTATTTCAAAAAAGGATGATGAAAAAATAAAACACTGTTTTTTGTTTCATACAATTCTTTTTAAATTCAATGTAATGTCATTTCATGAACAAAAAGATCATAATATGTTGTACACAGATCTTATTTGCAAGACTTTACTGCTATATCAAAATTATCTCTTTTCTAAGAATAAGACCTGCACACGGAGTATATATATCTCAATTGATTCGATACGCAAGAGCATGCTCTAAGTATGAACAATATCTAAAACGAGGTAAATTATTGACAAGCAAGTTGATGAAACAAGAATATCAACAGTCTCGTTTAAAGTCATTATTTCGTAAGTTCTATGGTCGATACAATGACCTTGTCAGCAAATACAATTTATCATTGAGTCAAATGCAGACTGACGTTTTTCATACCAAATGTTAGTCCATTATTTATACACCGAATTGATGACGGATTTTTTTTTATCTTGACAAGGAGCACACGGCGGGTGTTACCGGTCGGCAAGGGATGCTCACTTCTCCATGGCACCTGATTCCACCTCTAATGTTTTGGAGGTCCGTGTGTGCTCTGCTCCTATTTTGTATTGTTTTATGGACTTTGAGATTGAATATTGTTCGGTTTTTCCTTCTTATGATAAAAGTGTTTATTGATAATCATATTTAGCAATGACATGTTATCAGCTGTAAATAAAAATAAATAAAGCGTAGGGATACAAGTGTTGTAATTTATTGATAATCAATTGAAGTTTCGGTATCTTTTTTGGTCAGGTCTTTTCCTCGTGCAATGTGTCTTGTACAAGAGGAGTCTGTGTGAAGCTGTCTTCAGAAATTGATTACTGCTCAGGTGAATTTTTTCTACACAATACCTGTTGAAAAAAAAATGGATTTTCTTGTCCTTGAGAACTTCATGTGCTTATTACGCTTGCTTATAATTAATATGACATACTTCATGCATACTTTGTTTTTTCCTGAATCATTTTTTATTAATTAAAATTTTCATACTAACTTAATATCGATTTTAATAATTGATAAGTTCAATGTTTCATAGAAGGCACTCAATTTTGGACCCGATTTATTTTTAAAGCAAGAATCTATTAATTTTAAAATATTTGAAATTTATATTGCATGTAAAATTCTATATTCAATTTTCAGGCTATATTTATGCAAGTACCATGGAATAATTTAATATCTAATATAAAATTCAATCCTTACATTTAGTGCCTCGCTGTCCCTTGACTTTTCGTTACTCAAGTCAACTGAATTTTTGCTACATAAGTGTGGACAGCGGAAAGAAGTTTGCAGACGCACAGGCCTATTGTGAGACTCTGGGATGTCGATTGGCCATTCCTCGAACTATGGACCATATAATGTTTTTAAATTCAGGTATGTTTACCAAAAAATGAGATTCCTCGGTGATTTAACGACCATGAATTCATAATTAGTCCCATGTTTTGTATAGGTTTAATCATTAGAAAGTTACACTGAAGTTCGTCATTTGTTTCATATTGCATCCGATATTACTTTAAAAAAAGAAAACAAAATTAATTGTTTCATGGATGAGGCCCTTTGTATTACCCAAGAAATGCATTGATTAATTATCAATTATTCTGAGTTTACTTAGAAGATGCTTGGCAAATTATTATTCATTTAATCACAATTCTGGCCGGGCTTTCGATTTATCGAATCTTTATTTTTTTGCTCGAAGCACGTTTTCAAAACTATCTATAAACAGACCATGTATGATGTCATTTAAGTTTTAACAAGAAGGAAACAAAGAAGAGGGTCATAATATTTCAGAATTTATAATTTAATATTGACAAAGGCTTTAAATATATCTGGCTGTATACTGAGGACGAGCACTAGCTGTGATCAATGTTTTCATATAATTTTGTTTATATATTGATAATGTCTTGGCGTCAATCGAGACAAATAATGACGTTCATTTTAAATCCTATTTTTACCCAACTTAAAAAGACCTTATATTTGTGAAAAGACAAAACTTAATTAATTATCCTGTCGTTTTACATAAAGCACATATTCATGATATTATTGCATTAAAAACAAAATTATTTGAAAATAGACCAAAATTTAATTGAAATATATATACTAATATATTTACAATTACATGTAAGAAAATCAAAGGATTAGTTTATTGACGTTTCTTTCGTATGATAATTATAATTGTTATAAACTGAATATTTTCGTACTTTTACTGCCTTGCAGAGTTTTCCAATGGTTACATGAACAACAATAAATACAGAATAGGAGGTCAGTGGAACACTGAAGCTGGAGAATGGAGGTGGATTAATGGAAACGCCGTGTTTGATTCTGTCAATCTTAATTTAACAGACTTCCAAATCTCTTCTAATGATGGCGATTTGATGTGGGACTGTGACTCAGATCTACGCCAGATAAACACAGGAAATGGAGAGAAATTCTTGTGTGAGAAAGTTCTATAATATTCTATAGTACGGAAGCCCAATAGTGCAAACGAAATTATTAAATAAAGAAAAACGAAATTAATATTTAAAGAAAAATGAAATTATTAAATAAAGAAAAACGAAATTATTAAAAGTGTAAAAACTGACACTAAAATACGGAATTTATAGATGTACATGGTAGGACTGAACCCATGAACCATCCCATAAAGTGCACGTGTTATAAAGCATCACCTAGTAACTCTTTACACCTTATATTATTTCGACATTACAAACGTGTGAGGGAAATGGAAAATTAAAAAGAAAAATAAATATCAAATTTACAAACGTACAAAAAAAATATATGTACACAGTGAAAAATTTGCATTTCTTTAAAAGATTCATAAATTGTTCAGTTTTGTTAAACTATCCCATCAACATCATTGTTGGAGCCTATAAGCCTAGACGTAACGAGGATGACTGTTTCTGTTTTGCATAAAAATAATGACATTCCAATAGAGCTCATGAACCGCAAGAAGTTCATAGTCTTATGTATCGAATTAGTGAATCCCCCCCCCCCCAACTTAACACAGCGTCCTATCTGTATTATACCCATAAATCTTACATTGTTGAAACTATAAATTAGAAAAATGATTTGATTACTTAATTTGTAGGATTTGCTATGTGCAAGTGTGTGCAAGTGTGTGCATTGTTTCTTCACAAATATCAGCTACTTATAAATACACAGATTGAGAGTTTGTCATTTAGAATATATGAGAACAAGTACTATATATATAGTAGTCAGTACCACTGAAATAAATAGTCCAGATTGAGAGTTTGACATTTATAATATGTGAGAACAAGTACTATAGTAGCCTGCGTTCATCACTTCTCAGTATGCTTTGATAAAGACCAAGAGATAATGATCAGAAGTGTTTTGCTTTATTTCATTTTGAAGGGGATTACATAGAGATGATATTTTATGACTATTTAGATGCTCAACCACTGACCTTATTAGTAAAAATTGAGGTCAAAGGTCAATTAAGTGCAAAATTTTATGGAATTTTTTGATACTTTTTAATCTTCAAGCTAAATATTAAGTATTATGTATGTTGAAATAGGAAATTTGGGATATACCCACAAAAGAGCATTATACTGTAGTACACAAAACACATAAACTTTTTTTTCAATTCTGCATATAACTACTTAAAAGGGGTTGCTAAGCAACGCAGAATTCTTTAATTTTCGGGCAGAAATTTTCATATTTTACTCAATCTAGATACATTTATGTATCCAAGCACATATTACAGTTAGATGTGAGGTCATAAAATTACAAGGGACATACAGTAGATAAATTGTGTTAAAGTTTGACCTCATTAGATCTATTTTTAGGAGGTCAAAGGTCAAATAAGTGCAACAATTTCATCAACTTTTTTCAACACTTTTCAATATTTTTGACATAATTTTACACAATGGATGCTGAAATGGAAAATTCTGAATATACTCTCAAAAAGGGATCAGAACTGCAATATCCATGCATCATTTTAGTTCAAATATCTGTTTAATGACCTTTTAGTGGTTGCTAAGCAACAACATTTTAAAGGTTTTGGCTATATACATGTTTGTTATTTCACATTCTGGACACATTCTAGACACTTTTTGTATATTTCATGATATTGTTTGTAAGATATATATGGGCCATAAAGATGAAAGAACATTTTTGTATTAAAAAAATTGACCTTGACACTCTTGTTCTTCAGGGGGTCAAGGTCATATCAGTACAGAATTCTGCTTTAAACTGTAAGTAAATATCAATTTTGAAATGCTTCATACATGGATAAATCATCTAATAGTTGACGTAATAAAAATGGCGAACGACAAAATTTGCAAGCAAAGAATTCTGGTCTGCTTCTTACAAACCCCTAGCAAAACATGTATACAATCTTTTTGTTAAACAAGAAATCCATTCTCTTGATGCCATTAAAAATAATCTTTATTTTCATGGATTTAATCTAACAAGAAAAAAAAAAACTAAATGATTTCATTACAAGATTTTTCTGGTATAACTGAGCTTAAGGGGTACAATAAAGACTTGACATGTTATCTTGGAGGGAAATAATAATAATAAATAGCATTGGCAATATTTAGCCCAAAACTGCTTAGTCAATAAGTTGAAAATTTGATGCTTTTATCCAAATATACAAATCCAGATATATTGCAAGATGAATTCCAAATCAGACTGAAATCTTCAACAAAATGTTGAAGAGCACTTTTACTTTGTGTCCACCATTCTCTTATCAACTGTTACTTCTCTGTAAGACTGGAGGAAATTCTTTGACTTGTCCAAGACATTATAATTTGCTTTCAAGTTCAAGTGATCAGCTTCTATCCTGTAAAAGATTTAAATATTTTGAAACAGATACATGCCATTGTGTATATGAATTTACATTTATAAATAAAATTAAGAATGCTAAAATTACTACATTTATTTGATTTTCCTTTTAAAATTAAGATTGCATCTATTGTGTGATTCAAGTAGTTAAATGATATTGTTAAGTCAATGTATCAGGACTGATAATTCAACAACCTTGTAGTAAACCATTATGGTAAAATTACTGAACTAAAACAAATAGCATATATGGCAATCTGCTAAAGCCAGACCTCTGTTTACGCTATCGCAATATGTAAAAAAAATCTGGCAGTGGATGGAAGATCTAATTTTAATTAGATTGCTACGAAAACCATGAAGGGACACAGCAATTTTTCAAAAAAGTAGAAAATGAAATCTCAAATTAGACAATCCAATTCCACGGATACTAAATCATTCCCTCGATTTATAATTCGAGATCTCGAATTACACAATCTGATCTTACAGATTACTACTTCGCCCCCTTGATTCATAATTTGAGATCTCGAATTACATACTGCTAATTTGTTTTCACAGATTAATAATTCGAGATCTCGATTTGTTACAACGTCAGTCCTATGATTTTGGCAATCTGTGCTCTTGAATTTTATTACATATATATATGTACAGATACATCCAACTATTTTAATCAATTAGTGCGTTCACTTCTTTTTATTTTGTTTCAGCAACCGGTCATTTCCAACCTCTTTCATAACTAATTCAACGTATATTTATTTTAGAAATATTATGATTACACAGGACCCATATTCACTTTACTATATCGGACTTTCAATTATCTTAATATACACGTAACCAAAAACCTCTAAGATTTTTTGTTGTACAAATATCAGTACTAGCATATGGATTTGAAAATGTTCATTTATTTTTCTCATTTTGGTAATATGGTAATATGTAATAAAAGGTTGGATGTAAAATACTACAATATTCTATTCTTTAAACATGTATTACCATATCCGATATGTACAGATAAATAATTTTAATGAAATCATGGGAAGGGTTTACATTCCGAGGGAACATGTCAATGAATTATACAATCTGAGATAATGGATTGTGTAATTTGAGGGAAGATAATCTGTGAGAATATGAATTGGCAATTTGTTATAACAGATTGTCAATCCGAGAGAATGGATTGTGTAAATCGAGAACTCGGTTTACTTTTATAAATTTTTAAAAATTCTATGTCCCTTCATGGCTTTCATAGATTGCATACCTGCATGGCTGCCAGGGTTGTAAAAAGAAGGGAGACAACAGACTGCAATGTTACTTCAGGGCAAAATTCCTGGGGCAAGGCTGTTCGTGAGCATGGGAGTGTTGATAAACCATCCAGTGAGTTTGACCACCCATATATATGATGTACGATAATTGGAAAGTGTCTGAAAAAATGAGAAAATGGAAATTCTAACCACAAACTTTATGCAGATTGGAAATACAACAGCAGTCTATAAAAACAGCTTGTTTCATATCTCGGCATTCATTCAAATAGATATTACGTGTTTAAATAATGTGTTTGTATGAATAATCAAGCATCATAAGTATTATGTGTTTCAAACACTTATTTTTCAAAATATAAATCAAATGTTTATAAACTCGTATGAATGATTTATCATGAGAATGACACAAATGAAATTTGACTTTATTTTTTGAAATTTTAGAAATACAGAAATTTTCAACAACAAAACAAAAATTTACCTGTTCATTGGTGTCCTTACATATTAATTGGCATTCGTAGATCATGGTGGGCTTAGCAAGTGGGTATTCACAGATGAAAGTATTGTTGCATATGTTGCCAGCACCCTAAAAATTCAAAGTGAAAGTGGTATATGTACACACTGGTACACACATACTGAAAACAACTATCTATTTATATACAACATGACACCCTGATAAGGTTCAGATTTATTAAGTTGAACCAATAAATATATACATTTTAACACTACATACACAGCATATTTACATTACAAAACAGCAAAATAACAAATTAAAAATATACAAAAATGTACAAATTTTTTTGGCATCTTGGGGGCTGCTCTCTCTTAATCTTAACAGCATATTAAATAACCTGGGGGGAGCCCAGCAGGTTATTGATTGTTACCCCAGAACCTGGGGGGAGCCCAGCAGGTTCCGGGCTTGATACCTGGGGGGAGCCCAGCAGGCAATCATAGATACTCAATAAAATAATGGGTATACTCTATTCAACCTGGGGGGAGCCCAGCAGGTTGATGATAATTTCAAGTATATAGTACCTGGGGAGAGCCCAGCAGGTTACGTTATGTAAGTTTCATTTAGTACTCCATTAAAAACCTGGGGGGAGCCCAGCAGGTTGATAATGATTTAATGTATAAAGTACCTGGGGGGAGCCCGGCAGGTAAGTTATGTAAGTTTCATTTGATGTATACAGCCTGGTAAGAGCACAGCAGGCCTTAGGAGTGTTGAATACACAAATTTAAATTTCTTACTAATTACGAGTCGATAATTAAGTAGCGTTATTTGAAATTGGGGGATGAAAAAATTCCAAATATGGGAATTTTAATGTCAAAATAAAGGAGCAGCCCCTTTAAAATAAGTTGGCAATACATATAAGATTACAGTTAATGAACATTAGGCATGTAAATATATATGAACATACTGTATCATCATCATGAAGATATTAACTTGGCACATAAACAATAGGAGATGAAGGGGTGGTGGGTGGGATAACAAAACGATCAAGATACAGATTCTGGCTACTTCAATTACAAAACATTGACTAAGTTAGCGTCCCTTTCTAGGATTTTGATTGGTTAAGACGATCACGTGGTTTAGTTTATAAACAGCTCAAGCACATGCTAACAGATTACGTAAATAGGTACAGCTCTGTTCACACAGTACATAACAAAGACAGTTGTGTATAAACAAAAATTAAATAAATTTACATTTTATACACAACATGACACCCTGATAAGGTTCAGATTTATTAAGTTGAACCAATAAATATATACATTTTAACACTACATACACAGCATATTTACATTACAAAACAGCAAAATAACAAATTAAAAATATACAAAAATGTACAAATTTTTTTGGCATCTTGGGGGCTGCTCTCTCTTAATCTTAACAGCATATTAAATAACCTGGGGGGAGCCCAGCAGGTTATTGATTGTTACCCCAGAACCTGGGGGGAGCCCAGCAGGTTCCGGGCTTGATACCTGGGGGGAGCCCAGCAGGCAATCATAGATACTCAATAAAATAATGGGTATACTCTATTCAACCTGGGGGGAGCCCAGCAGGTTGATGATAATTTCAAGTATATAGTACCTGGGGAGAGCCCAGCAGGTTACGTTATGTAAGTTTCATTTAGTACTCCATTAAAAACCTGGGGGGAGCCCAGCAGGTTGATAATGATTTAATGTATAAAGTACCTGGGGGGAGCCCGGCAGGTAAGTTATGTAAGTTTCATTTGATGTATACAGCCTGGTAAGAGCACAGCAGGCCTTAGGAGTGTTGAATACACAAATTTAAATTTCTTACTAATTACGAGTCGATAATTAAGTAGCGTTATTTGAAATTGGGGGATGAAAAAATTCCAAATATGGGAATTTTAATGTCCAAATTGAACGATTTAACCTTGGTTAATGAGTGAGAGCCCCCAAAGAAAATAAATGCCAATTTTAAACAGATAAAAACTATAACTAAGTGATACAATGACATAGGTATAAGAACACAAATGAACTGGTAAAAACATTGTACACACTAACATTATTTACCATTACACATTTTTTCCTGTGCTTCTTTAAGCACTTTTTCATCAGTTCTTATGTATCGAACATAACAATTTGAAGACCAACGCCCTAGAGTCTGTATGAGATGGTCCTGAATACCAGCTTCAGCAGCAGAAGTGGCCGCACCAGTTGAATATGCTCTCGCAGTCTGTGGACTAATAGCTGCATTCCATAGAGTCTCTATATCTTTTACATTGTGATCTCCTGGTAAGGAAGACAGGCTGTAGCTTGTTTGTCTGCTTCTGGTGCTAGCTTCCGAAATTTGTCCATCTGGAAACGAGAAATGGCATCGGCTACAGTATTAAGTTTCCCTGGAATATGCCTAGCATGTACAGTGAAATTGTAATTTGCTGCAGTGAAAGTTAGTTTTCTCATTAATCTCATGATTGACTTTATTTTTGAACGTCCTTTGTTTATAATTTCAACTGTAGCTAAATTATCGCAGTGGAAAAGAATTCTTTTCCTTGACCATTGCTGACCCCATAAGACACATGCCATTACAATAGGATAGAGTTCATAATAGGCCATAGAGGGTTTTTCTCCATTGCTAAACATGTCTGTTGGGAAGATATCCTGGAACCATTTCCCTAAGTAATAACCCCCAAATGCAGTATCGGTCGCATCTGTATACAAGTGCATATCTGCTGCTATAGTAATATTGTCTTCAAGGAAGAAAGCTACACCATTCCATGAAGATAAAAATTTGTACCACATTCTAATGTCTAATCTACACTCAGAAGTAATCGTCACATGATGATGAAGTTCTGAAACTGTTGTGGACAATGATATTAAATATGACACAAATGAACGGCCTGGACGTACAACACGACACGCAAAATTTAGGTGACCCAATAGACTGAGTAGTTGTCGTTTAGTGCAAGTCTTCTTGTCCAAAAATGAATCTAACGTCTCAAGTATTCTCTGTAGTTTGTCAGGTGGAAGTCTTGCTTCCATCTTACTACTGTCCAGCACTATACCTAAATATTCTAAGCACTGTGAAGGGCCCACACTTTTGTGAACAGCTAGAGGTATGCCCAACTTTTGAAACATGGTTGTTAACGTTTCCATGGTAATGTCTGCTGGAAAGTCTGGGGGGTCTACTGTCAGGAAGTCATCAAGGAGATGTAAGATATTGGTAATGCCATAGTTATTTTGTGCAATCCAACACAGAGTTGTAGAAAGTGTGTCAAAAATCTTTGGACTACTTCTTGAACCAAACACCAGTCTTGTAAAGTAGTAATATTGATTATCCCATTTTATCCCATGAAATGGCCAAAGGGTAGGGTGTATTGGTATAAGTTTAAATGCATCTGAAATGTCTACTTTACACATCCAACTGTTTTTTCCGAGTTTTTTAATTAAGTCTATGGCGTTATCAATAGTCACATATGACAAGGAAAATTCTGTTTTGTCAATTAGAGAGTTAAGACTAGCATGTTGATTTTCATTATGTGGAGCCGATAAATCAACGATAAGTCTTTTCTTTTTCGAATATTTCCCTTCAGCAACTCCTATCGGGTTCACTCTATATAAGTCAAAAGGCATAGACAAGTATGGACCCGAAATAAAACCCTTGTCTAGCTCTGTTTGGATTAGTTGGGAAGTAATGTCAGGTTGTTTTCTTGAAGATAACAAATTTTTACATTCATAGGTTTCTGTGGGTAATGATTTAAATCCTGTGTCAAACCCATATTTCAAGCCATTCACTAAATATTCCACAGTATGTTTATCTGGATGGTTAAGAAGGAGTTTCTCTAAAAGTTCTATGTTAACTGGCGTTGAAACTGTTGTACTAATCACTGGTTCCCCCGATTCGGTGACCCTTTCCCCCGGGGGGTTACATCGTTTTTTGAACTGCAAATAGATTGTGGATGCCCAGTTTGTTTGCAAGTTTTACACGCATGCAAGTTGTTGCATCTTTTGCGATTGCACCCCATGTCATTGTAATTATTACAAATTTCTAAACCATCTTTGTAATGCCTAGTTCTTCCATAGCTATCATTAACGTTCGTGTTAGAATATGGACGGTAAGGCTGTGAGAGGTGGTAAGGCTTGACCCCCGTCTCGACGTTTTTGTGGCAGAAAGGAGCAGTGTGACTAACACTGTTGCAAAGTGTGCAAGTGACAGGCTTTTCATTTGCAAAGATATTACAGAATAATGTATTGTTTCGTACCGACCAGTCAATAGGGATGTTTTGGTATTTAAGGTAAGCCGCCGCCCTAGCGCTGAACTGTCTGTGGTACTCATAAAATGCTGTACCACCATACCGTGTGGCCATGTCAATTATATCCCGCTCGTATAAATCTAATTCTTTTCTCCGTCTCGGGAAAGCCTCACACATAGTGCTTTTATAAATGCCAAAAGCCTGAATGAATTCAGTGATAGTTAAGGTCTTATTCAACCTGGGGTCTTTCTTATCCTTGTCAGATTTGTCTTTGTCAATTTCTGGCCCGGTGTAGTAGGGAATCAGAATGGTAGCAAGGTTGACATCCTTACCTTCAACAATTTGTTTCCTTAGATTTGGTGAAATTGTTTCTACATAGGGTAACGATTCCGCAGAATATCCGTATGTAGTCTTGACTCCCACTGTTTTGGTAGAATTTTGGTCGGCCCACGCTGTTGACAGAGTGTAGTTTTCCGTCTCTGTAGGCTCCCGAGGAGTTCCGCTTACCACGTCAACTCGTGCCATAGTGTTTTGAACCCCAGTCTGGCGTAATTGTTCAGCGCTTCCAGCGGCAGCGGGTATCGTTGGTTGTGGTCTCGACATGTTATTAACCCTTTCTGTTAGAGAAATCATGCTGCTCTGGAGACTCTGGACTGTTGTTGTTAAATCTCTTACCACGCCCAATAGTTCAGTTCTCACGTCTTGGCTTGGTGAGGGTCCATTATGTGAGGGTCCGCTAGGTGAAGGTGTCACGTGACTTCTTATCGAGTCTGTCAAATGTCCCGATTCTTCATTTGTCGCTTGTTTGTATAGGGACACTAAAACACTGCGCCTGGTATTTTGTGGCGGTGTTATACCTTTCAAGTTCAATTCCTGCCGAAGTTTATTTACCGTCCAATTCTCTGGTAAGGATTCATCATAATCCTGCCGATTAGGCCGATTGCGATTTCTGATCGGAGGCATTTCACAAATTTATCACAGTCTAAATCACAAAATAGATCACAAAATGTCCAAAAGTATAATCCAGCGACATATAAAAGTCACATGTCAAACTTTGAAAACGAAAGTACAAGTAAATAATAGGTTAAAGTTCAAGTAATAACAAAACGATCAAGATACAGATTCTGGCTACTTCAATTACAAAACATTGACTAAGTTAGCGTCCCTTTCTAGGATTTTGATTGGTTAAGACGATCACGTGGTTTAGTTTATAAACAGCTCAAGCACATGCTAACAGATTACGTAAATAGGTACAGCTCTGTTCACACAGTACATAACAAAGACAGTTGTGTATAAACAAAAATTAAATAAATTTACATTTTAATATAATGGCAACTTTGATTTTACTTTGAACTTATGAGTGTTTGTCAAAAGCATCAAAGTTCAAAAGCAACACAAAATTGGCTGAACAATACGAAATACGCACACTGAAATATGAAGATCTAGTGCATGTACATGTCTACATTTAGTTTTCTTTTGAACGTGAACTAATTGCGTTTTAAACTTAAACTATTCAGTCAATATACACGTATTCTCACCTGCTAATACCAAAGGATGTCCGTATTATTTGATTCATTGATGTGATGATCTTCGTCGTGAAATAATCATGAAAACTGACGTTCAGATTTCACCATCATGTTGTTTGTTTACTGCCACCATAGCGGAAACACGTGGTTATTTCAATTCGTATCAACTCATACAGTGATAGATGAGTCGTATTTATTTATAAATGCGAATTCTTGTTTTGTTAAATTTCGTGCTAATATAGATCTAATTAATTTGCAAATTAAGTATACAATATAACAAGATACAACTATATTAAAATCTGATTTTTTTTAAGTAAAGATCGACGTTTAGGGAATCTACAATTTTTCTCAACATTGTACATCACTACATGAAATTTTCATCATTACATGTGGATGAATAAATTGACATTTCATTTCGATCACACAAAAGGCAGAACGATAGTAAATATTTGTTTTTTTAAATGTATTTTTGTATTATGCATTTATTTCAGTAAAAAATATATATTTAAATGGTCAAAAAAGTCTTATAAAAGAATTTGTTGTTTCGAGTAAGACGCAACAATATCGACCTTGACGTTACATGGTAAATATTGACCGATTTTTCCATAAAAACTATGCGAAGGTCACAAATTCAAATTATCGCAATTAAGAAAATACCGAGCGTAAGAAGGTCTGTAAGGGCTTGTTGGAAAGGAAATTTTCTCCACTTTTACCAGCTTTATTTTGTTTTCCCTATTTCAACACAGAAATAAACGTAAAACTGAGCTTTGTTTAAACATTACGAATAAAACCGAGAAAAAACACATTAGTGCAAGAAAATTCTTGTTTTTAAAATAAACCTTTAAGTAATAACAATAATTTTTACATATTTTAAAAGTAGAGAAAATATGCTTTAAGAATATACCATGCTTTCTTCATAAAGTTAAACAGGAAAAAATTGTCAATCGTCTGGAAAATCGGCAATCGCTTTGGAAAATTACGCCATTTTCAAAAAGTCACGTTTGTCTTTACAACGTAAAATCGATTAAATACCGGCAATCAAGACATAATCTTTTTAGATATTTTAAAAGTAGAGAAAATTTCCAAAAAGATGATATATAGTTTATATACCTTCATGCTACCATTAAATAGATACGGAGATCTTATTTTCGCGAAGTCGTGTTTTAACGCGCCACCGGTCAATTTGACCGGTACAGAAGTGAAGGGGTTAAGTATTAAAGCTGTTAACGTCAACATCTCACCGATTTACTGGCCAAATTATCAGACTCGTTAAAGTTCACAGTAATCATGTTAATGTAAGATAAAAAAAAAATAAATCTAAGCATATTAGATACCAAAGGTTAAATTCTCTTCCCATCCATGTATTGTAATGGGAATAGGTGAGCGTAAAAGCAAACATCACACTTGTTTATTGTCAAAACAAAATCATGTCTATCAGACGCTTGCGCTAATGATTTATGGGTTCAGAATTAATTTACCATGCACATCTATGAATTCCGTCTCTTAGTTTAAGTTTTCTACTTTTAATAATTTCGTTTTTCTTTATTTAATAATTTAGTTTTTCTTTATATATTAATTTCGTATTTCTTTATTTAATAATTTCGTTTTTCTTTATTTAATAATTTCGTTTTTCTTTATCTATTTATTTAGTTTTTCTTTATTTAATAATTTCGTTTTTCTTTATATATTAATTTCGTTTTTCTTTACTTACTTGTCATCCACATCCATTCCCCCTCTAAAATAATGTCACTTCCACCGAGCCAGAACCCATCTATAAAATTAAATAAATGGGGGCCAGTCATGATAAAAATAGAAAAAAAATATAATTAATACTAGGTAATGTACTCATCCCTAGAAAAATTTAAATTTATATATATACGAGTAATGATCAAAAAGTTCGCGAACTAATTGAATAGCTTCCATAAAACAATTAAAGTAAGTTTTCAGTGTTAAAGTAATACTCTCTAAATTTAATGCACATCTGTCACCGTTCTGCCCATACGCAAATCACGTGGTTCGGACACTCACGTGACATGCTCCATAGCATTCTGTTCACAAAAGATAAAACATTTCAGAGTCATATTTCTTACCATTCGAGTTATTTTATATAACAAGAACAGTTATTTGTAAGAAGTAACCTAATGTTTTGAAAAGGATGGATGAATAAGGATATCTTTTCCCAGAAAGAACATTGTGACAATCATAGACCGAGTCCTCTGACTTAGGAACGTCATTTATTTAATAGAGATATATACTAGTACTTGAATCATATCTGATATATTTCACGATAATTCAGGGATTTAATACTTATAATTATTATTGTTAGGATGTTCAACTATATTTTAAGTCATAACGTCATAACTAATTGGTGATCTTTCATAAATTGCTCAACTAAGGACACATCTCTTTCCAAGGTGTTGTGTAGTGGTTAGAGCGTCTACTCTAGAGTGGCGAAGGAGTTAATCCTTTTGTCGCGGGTTCGAATCCCACTTTTGGATGTGAAGACCGGTCCTTCGAACGAGACCGTATAAACCGAGGTCCCGTGCCGCAGTACATGTAGGTGCTGGCACGAAAAAGATCCCTCACTGCTCAATGGCCCTGAGTGCCGAGTATAGGGCAAAATTGAAGTTCACCACCGGGAAGTGGTGGCGTCTCCATATGAGTGAAAAATTCACGAGAGGGATGTTAAACAACAAACAATTAATCAATCAATCTTCCCCAGGTTTCTTTCACTGGACAACAAAACAAATTTCATTTTTAACCATCCGTCTTCCCTCACTAAAACAATCAATTATTGAATT